AAGGAGTGCATCTATTTATAGAGGTAAAGACCTCCACTTGATGTCATTGGTGACATCAAACTACCTCCTCTTGATGTCATGGGTGACATCAAAGGAGAAAGCTTCCTCCTAGCATCCATACCAACTTTTTCCACCAACTCTTCCAATTGGCATGCCATTGTTGACTAAACATAAACCAACACTTTCAATCTCCACCTTGGTTTATGTTTCGAGCGTGCGAAATGCACCCAAACCTTTCATGAGAAATCATAAATAAAAGTGAGAAGATACCTCTTTCTGCCTTTCGATGGAAGTTTAGAAGGACCCCATAAATCTGAATGGATGTAATCTAGCACTCCTCTTGTCTTGTGTTTGCCAGTGCTGAAGCTGACCTTCTTCTGCTTCCTTAGAACGCAGTGCTCACAGAAGTCAAGTGTGTTGATATTTTCACCTTCCAAAAGGTTATGATTGCTCAACATCTTCAGTCCACGTGCGCTCATATGACCTAGACTCATGTGCCATAGTCTTACCTTGTCATCATTAGATAAATGCACTGTAGATGCATTTGCAGAGCCAACAATGGTGCTTCCGACCAATGTGTAAAGGCCGTTCTCCAGCTTGCCTTTCAGCATGACTAAAGAACCTTTAGTCACCTTTATAGTTCCTGCTTCGCTCATGTACCTGTAGCCTTGTTAATCCAGAGTACTCAGGGAGATCAAATTCTTCTTAAAATCAGGAACATGACGAACTTGTGTAATAGTCCTCACGACTCCATCATGGCAGCGAACCCGAACTGAGCCAATGCCAACTATTGCACAAGTTGCATTATTGCCCATTACTACGGTTCCTCCACTTTTCTCATAGCTGCTAAACCAGTCTTTTCGGAACGTCATATGCAGAGTACAAGTAGAGTCTAACACCCACTTGTTTCCATAATTACTCTTATTATTACACGATGTTGTTAGTACATAATCATTATCAAAATCATGTACCTGTTCAACTGTAGATGCACTCGCCTTTTCCTTGGACTTTGACATTGGGCAATCTCGTTCAAAGTGCCCCTTCTTGCCACAACCCCAACACTCTGTATTCTTCTTGTTCACACGAGACTTTGATCTGTGCTTTGATTTGGTCTTTCCCTGTTGGCTAGTCCGGCCTCTCACAAAGAGGCCACTTGCCTGGTCATCTCTATCTCCTTCAATGTGCCTTTGCACGTCACTAGAGTTAAGTGCCTGCCGCACTTGATCAAGCTTGATAAGCTCCTTTCTATATATCATTGAATTCTCAATATCACGATATCCTGAAGTCAATGAAAATAGCAAAGCACATGCAAGCGTCTCCTCCTGCTTTTTAATTCCTGCAATCTATAAGTCCATGACAAATTTATTGAACGCATCTAAATGATCTTGTAACGAAGTACCTGACCCCATCTTAAATGTGTGAAGACGCCGTTGTAACAACATCCTTGTTGTCACTGATCGGTCTTGGTATAGCCCTTCTAGCTTTTCCAATAACTGTTTGGTCGTCTCTTCGGTACCCGCACTCACTTCACAAAGCACGTTTGGTGCAAGGGATAGTTGGATTGCACTCAATGCATCCCCTTCAATCTTCTCCTTCTCAGGAGTTGATATATCCTTAGGATACTTTCCGTCAATAGCATAGATTGAATCTTCCCTCCGCAGTAACGCCATCATCTGGATCTTCCAGATATTGAAGTTGTTGTGTTCACTGAATCTATCAATTTCAAACTTCATAGAACTCATTTTTGCTTGTTCTTCCTCCTTGGATCGTTAAAGAATCTTGTTGCTCTGATACCAATTGTTAGCGGAAACGTAAAAGAAAGAACAAAAGATTTAACATGGTTCGGATCAAAATAATCCTACGTCCACCAGAGAATAGTTGCCTTTTTAATATTAACAAAGGAAGGGAAGATTTCCCAATTACACTTAAGAGAATTTCTCTCTTAACTCTCTACTCACTACAATATATTGTATTATTTTTGGGATGATTTCTACAAATGAAGGAGAGAATCTATTTATAGAGGTAAAGACATCCTCTTGATGTCATTGGTGACATCAAACTATCTCCTCTTGATGTCTTGGGTGATATCAAAGGAGGAAGCTTCCTCCTAGCATCCACACCAACTCTTTTCACCAACTCTTCCAATTGGCATGCCATTGTTGACTAAACATAAACCAGCACTTTCAAAACCTTATCGGTTCCGACCTCAATTTTCAAAAATACAAAAATATTTTCCTTTAGTTCCTTCTTTAGAAATCTTTCCTTAGAAAATTCAAAAAAAAGTTTTTTTTAAACTCAAAAAAGTAGTTTCCTTCTTTCTGAAGTCTTTCATACGGAAAAATGAAAATCTAAAATACGGGTTTCCTTCATTTTGAAGTATTTTTCCAAAAACAATCAGAAAAAAAAATCCAAAAATACTTTTTTCTTCTTTAAAATTCTTTCTTTTGTAAATGTCCATAAAAAATTTGAAAAATAAAAGTCCAAAAATATTTTCGCTTTTCTTTAAAAGTAATTTCGTAAATTAAAAAAAAGAAAGAGAAAAAAGAAGAAGAGAAACTCAGAAATCCGAAATGTTTTCTTAAAAGTCCTTAAATCGAAAATTCACTAGTCAAATAAAAAATCAAAATAAACAAAAATATTTTTCTATCTTTTTAAGAAGTCTTTTCTCAAAAATTCAAAAACAAAATCAGAAAAAAAAAAGAATAAAAAAAATTCTTTTCCTTGTCTAAAAGTTTTTCTTACAAAAATAAAAAAAATTGAAGTCCAAAAATATTTTCGTTTTTCTTTAGAAGTACTTTTGTAAATTTAAAAATTAAAAAAAAACTCAGAAATCTAAAATATTTTCTTAAAAGTCTCTCTTTTGAAAATTAAGAGGCAACATCCAAAATCCAAAAAGTATTTTCTTTCAACTTTATAAGTCTTTATTTTCAAAAAATTTCGACAAAAAAAACAAACAAATAAAATCCAAAAAAATTTCTTCTTTAGAAGTCTTTCTTTCAAAAATTTCAAAAAAAAAATCAAAAATCAAAATCAAAAAAAAAAATTCAAAAATATTTTCTTTCCTCTTTATAACCTTTCTTTCGAATATTCAATAAAAAAAATGAAATGCAAAAAACAAAAAAAAAGAAGAAGTTGTGTTCCTTTTTTAAACGCTTTCATTGTTTGATTGTTATAAAAAGAATAAAAAAAGAAGAGTTAGCTTATTTACTCTATTCCTAATTTTTCCGAACTACGCAAGATTCGATTCATGCGGCGTCATGATACGTAGGTAGGTATGACAATGGGGCGGTGTAAGTGCGGGACAGTGTGGGTTTGAGATCATGCGGGGTGGGGCGGGTGCAGATGAATGCGGG